CTATAGCTAAAATTCGATACCACTATACAAATATACATGAACGAAATTTTATATATAAAGATTTTTTAAACTTGGTTTTTGTATGCAAGATGTTTAAGGAATATTCACACGATAAACCTGTAAATAATAATTTAAGTTTCATCATGCGCGAATTTTATTTTTATAATATTGTACATTTAAAGTATAAATGCAATCAATATTGATTGCTTTAATAATATGTTATAATATTTATAGTACATATATTCATGTTACTTTTCTAAAATCTGTTCAAAATTAATCCGATATGATTCTGCCAAAATAAGGTATAATATGAAAAGCTCGCTTGTTTTTTTTTTTAAAAAAAAGTCTTATTATCTAATTTCAAAATTCTCTGCATACTACCGTACATCACTGCATATAGTGTCCTCTTGAAGAGTGTCCTCTTGAAGTATCCTCTTTAAATAGTATAATTTCTACTATTTTTGAAAAGTATCCAATGCTAATCAAATAGCCCAAATCAATGATCCTGTTATACGATCAACTTATATCCCTCCTGTATACCCCAGGGGAGTTGTTTAATTTATTTTGGATTTCTTGTAAAAAAATCGGGGTATGATACTGTAATGCTGTATGATAAAATTGAAAAAAATTTTGCGAAACCCTATTACAAACTTAATTAGTAATTTCTATTCAAGATACCCAAGCTTGAATCAGGTTTGGACCAGAGTTTTTAAAACTAGTTCCAAACTAGTTCAATAATCATAAAGCAAAATCAAATGTGGATTTTTGCTTTAATTAGGTATCCATTGGAAAAAACTTTAAAATTATTGGACTTGGATTACTTAAGTAAGTCAGTAAAGAACCGGTCCAGAACCATGGTTCTAAGATTCTTAGAATTTATTACACATACTTATTTAGCATACATACCACCAATTTTTTTTTTTTACGGTAAAATTATAAAATACATCGTGATTATTCTATTACAATCAATGAACCTTAATTCTATACAATGAATTGCCGTAATAGCATGTAAGTACTATATATATATTACACTGGATCAGTATAGATTTAAAAATGGCCTATACTATACGGAACTGCACACCTATACTATACTAATCTGTGCTAATCAGAGGTATCGAATAATTTGCAATTATTTTATCTTAATTAATTGATCGGTGGTGCAGCCACAATTAAAGCAATTTTCACCACAGTTTGTAACTACTGCCGACAAGGCCTCATCGATAGGTGTATAGTAAAGAAGTTTATGATTAAGATCGAAATGTGATAACTTCGTCAAAACTATCGGCAAAAAAAAGTTTATTAGATGACTTAATAAAGAAAACAAAAAAGTATATATTATATAAATAAAAAAATAAAAAAAAAAAAAAGCTTATACGATTAACTTATACGGTTAAAGAAAAAGCCTATATAATTGGAAGTGTTTTTTTTTTCTTTTAAAAACACGTATACTAAAATAGTCTTTATTTTTAAATGGGTTACAATGAGTGCAAAATGTTCAAACAAATGCTACATAGAGGCCTTTTTCGAACGTGTTTTAAAATATTATTATATGGACTGGAGAAGGACTCTTACACTCTCTTAACCCATATACCTTTATTGCTAAGAGTAAATGGTAAAATGTGGTCGATTTAAGACGTTTACCAAATTAAACATGTAATGTTAAATTCAGAAGCTTTCCTTACTGTTATATTTCTTCATAACGGGTTACTGATTAAAAAGGATTGCGTAATTTTTATCATTACGTATTACACTGAGACTATATCATCAAGCTCATTGGAATCTTTTTTGGTCTTTTGAACAATTTGGTTTCTATCTTTACTTTCTGTACATAAAAATAAAGGAATTAATACATCGCTTTTATACGTATTAAAAATAATTATAGATTGTCTACTTATTAGGTGGCTTAGATTGTTCAGTTACAGCTTTACTATTAACAATGTTTTGGTAGGGACCATTTGTACCAGCTACAGTGTATCAATTAATTTTTCATGTTCCTCAATTTTTCTTGAGGTCCATGTCATTTAAACCGGTTGAGCTTCGTGTGCTTATCAAGACGCTAGAAAAGTCGATGACGTGGCATCATGGCAAAGAATATGATAAAAGATCTGGTGTATATTCCCTTAATTAGACGGACGACATGATATACAATAGAATATGTGGCGATAA